TCAAAACGATGTAAGAACAACAGTTTTCAAGTAGATGCTGGTGTATGTTTTCACTTTTTGAGGATGTCCCTAGCGAAATCGCTATTTTCGGAAGTCCCCCAATCGTTCTGACAGCCATCTTGTCGTGCTTTTTGGCCTCTCATTTCGTCATCTTGAGGTACTTCGAGAACGATATCAAGACGACGTTGAGGACATCTCATTTTGTTGAGGACGTCCCTAGCGAAATGCACATTTTCTGCCGTGCTCTTCGTTCTGGTCCGCCGTGCTGCCGCTCGTTTTTTGAGGATGTCCCGAGCGAAATCGCAATTCTTAACATACGAGTTAGTTGAAGACTTCAGTCGTCATTTCATTTTTCCGAGGATGTCCCAAGCGAAACGCAAATTTTCACAGACGGCGAAATTTCGCAGTCATCAACTTTTCGAGGATTTCTCGAGCGAAACGCTTGTTTTTGTTAAACGCGGTGTCGCGAAAATCTCAATTTTGTGAGGATGTCTCACGCAAAATCGCCATCCCGAGGAATCCGCTAAGCTTGTATACCGTGCGCCCCGCCACCCCCTATAGTTAAGAGATCTCTTACTGATATGAGGAGGACTCAGCCAAAACGTCCAGCTCGCTTCTCGTTCCTCGAAGACGCTTCCCGTCATCCGCCAGGGTTGTCCGAAGGAGGTACCCCGAGCCCTTCCCCTCCTGGACCTCCCCAGTTGATAAATTTCCCTCTGGGCCAGGACCAACGTCCATCGCGCGACCCTTCGAGTCTAAGCGCGCTTCCCGTCATCGACATTTTCGAAAATCAGAAGGTTTCACCAACGATTTCAACATCTCCATTTTATGAGGATGTCTCAAGCGAAACGCTAATTTTAAACATAAGAAGGCTAAACGGATCGTTTGCAACATAGCCCTTCTTCGAGTATGTCTCAGGCGAGAGTCGAATTTTCGAAGATCCGAAGATTTCGCGACCGATTTCAACATCCCGATTTTTTGAGGATGTCTCAGGCGAAATCGCAATTTTTTATTAATCGCTTCGCTCATTCCGCCGGCCCATACAGTCTCATGTCTGCCGTTTGCTCGAGGGCCTGGTGTCAATGCGGCGCTTTGGGGGTTCCTGGGGCCGCTTGGGGGACTCCCCCGTGCAGAATACTCACGCCAACGCCCGCGAATGAACAAACATAATCGCTTCCCGTTTTTGTCCGGTCAGGTTCCGGAAAAATGGCCGTTTCGCTCGAGACGTCCTTGAAAAATCGGCTCCGGAGGGGACTCCGAACTGGCATTGTCTTGGAGTCGCTCCCGGACAGTCTAAGGGGGTCGCACAAGCTTCCAAGAGGCTCCCAAAATGTTCCGAACAGCCCCAACAAATGCCGTTTCGCTCGAGACCTCTTCAGCAAATCGGGTGACGGGAAGCGCCTTCTCGGAACGAAAAGGTGGTGGGAGTTTCTTAGGCAATGCTTCCTACGAGTTAATAAAGAACAGAGACGCGAGGGACCACGGGCTCGGGGTCGGGCGGGGTCGATCGAATGGCGGATTCCCCCCTTTATGGCCGTTTCGTTCGAGACATCCTATAAAAAGTGGGATTTTGAAGGACTTGTTTTAAGACGCTTTACGTCAAAAGTGAGGCTCCCGCTCGAGACATCCTCACAAAAAGTGAGATCTCCAGGGGTCTCGCGAATTCGTCGAAATCTTAGAAATGAGGCTCTCGCTCGAGACATCCTCGAAAACATGTGATAGTGGACGAGCTGCTTCGAGACGTCTTCAGTTCAAAATGGGGCTCTCGCTCGAGACTTCCTCGAAAAAACGGTGATATCCAGGGAGTTTGCGAAACGAATCGGTCCGAGAAAAGCTCAAGAGGGATCCAAGACTGTCCAAGAATGCTCCAAGACGGTCCAAGATACCTTCTCATCATCATCATCATCATCATCATCATCATCATCATCATCATCATCATCATCATCATCATCATCATCATCATCATCATCATCATCATCATCATCGCCATTATCATGATCATCATCATGATCATCACCAAGACGGTCCAAGAGGGGCTCAAGAGGGCTCCCAGAATCTCTAAAAGAGCACTGCAAGACGGTCCAAGATACCCGTCATCGTCTTCATCATCATCCGCGTCATCACCACTATCATCATCATCGTCGGCATCATCATCACATTGTCATCGTCTTCGTTAGCGTCATCACGTTAAAACGGCCATGCGGTTTAAAACGGACGCCCACCGTACTCCCCCTCCCGCCCGCCTGCCCAGCACACCCGGCACGCACACCGCACACCCCCCCGTCCCGCCCCCCCCAGAACACATACTGCATACACGCCCTCACGCAGGCACCCATACGCACACAGCCGCACACGCACCCTCACACGCATACACAAGCACACGCACGCACACACGCATACAGGCCACGCGCAGCACCTGACCAACCCAACCAGAGGCAACCACTCAACACAAGCTACGCATGGCAACCATCTGGGCGTTTAGGAAAGCCCAGCGACGACCAACCCCATGTCCAGACATTCCACGTTGTGTGCAAAACCCTGCGCGTGCGCACGCAAGCTCAGAGAAGCGGCGCTTCCCGTTCTTGTCCGGAAAGGTTTTCGCCTCTTCGGGCCTTCCTGGAGGACCTCTTGGAGGCCTCTTGGGCTGTCGTGAAGGCCTCTTCGTCGGAGCCTCTTGGGCCAGCTTGAGGCCATCTTAGGCGTCTTGGGTGCATCTTGGGCCGTCTTGGACGCATCTGGGGGCCATCTTAGCCGTCTTGGAGGCCATCTTGGCCGTCTTGGAGGCCATCTTGGAGCCCTCTGGAACGGAAAAACCCTTTGCAACCACCTCCAGAAGAATTTTCGGCATCCTTCCCGGGTGGCCGGCGGGACGGGCCGAAGCCTCAGGGGGAGTTCTTTTGGAAAAAGAACCAAAACCAAAACCCATATAATTTGGCACGCCAGGCACCCCTTTGCTAAAGCAAAAGGCGGCGGCGGATCGAAGACGCCTACGGCGAATCACCGCCGCCCCCTGCCTTTTTGGAAGCGCCTATGTGGCCGAACGTTGAGGCCAGACCTGCCAAGCTATCGGACCACGTGTTCCCCGAATCGGTTTGGAAAGCCTTCGGGGAACACGTGGGCATCTTGAAGGTCATCTTGGCCGTCTTGGAGGCCTCTTGGGCAAGCTTTGGGCGATCTTTGGGGCTTTTTGGGCCGTCTCGGGCCAGCTTCGAGCCAACTTCGGCCATCTTGGTGGGTTCCTGGCACGTCTGAAGCCGTCGGAAGCCGTTTGGGGGGCCTCTATGGGCCGACTTGGGGCCCGCTTGGAATGCTCCAGGGCCGTCTTGGAGGCCATCTTGGGCGTCTTGGAGGCCATCTTGGGCGTGTTGGAGGCCTCTTGGGCCCTCTTGGGGCCCTCTAGGGGCCATCTTGGAGGCCACTTGGGCCATCATGGGGCTCTCTTGGGGGCCTCTTGGGCGATCTTGGGGGCTTCTTGGGCCGTCTTGAGCCGTCGGAGAGCCGAAAAGGCGCAAATGCCAAAATCCTTCAAAAACCAATGGAAAATCAATGATTTTGGCCTCTTCGGACTCTCCTGGAGGACCTCTTGGAGGCCTCTTGGGCCGTCTGGGAGGCCTCTGGGGGGCCTCTTGGGCCGTCTTGGGCCGTCTTGGACTCTCTTGGGCCGTTTTGGAGGCCGTCTTGGACCATCTCGGGCGGACTTGGAGGCCATCTTGGGCCATCTTCGCGATTTTTTGAGGATGTCCCGAGCGAAACGGCCGTTTTTGGGCATTGACAGATGGATTTTGGGAAATTCGCGGGTGGCCGGCGTTCGCGGGTGGCCGGCGGGACGGGCCGAAGCCCACTGGGGAGTCCTTTTAGAAAAAGAACCAAAACCAAAACCTGAATCATCCAGCACGCCGTGCACCCCTGCAAGCAGGGGGCGGCGGATCCAGTGGCCTTCGGCTTATCCCGCCACCGTACCCAGGTTGTGAGTCAACGGCGCAGTTGGGACCGTCGAACTAACGAGGCATTCCTGACCATGCTACTCCTGGAGAGCCCCCATGAAGGGCTCCGACTACCCTCGTCAAAATTGACCTCAAAAATGGCGACCACGCCCCTGCGATGCCGGCGCGCCCTTCAATGTCGATAGACACCCCTCCAATGTCGGGGCCAAGGTGGTCTGACCGAGAACGACTCGGAAGTTCGACGATGACCGACATTCGAGGGGCGACGCATACAAGTACCTCGCAGTCACCGCTACTCCGTCCAGTATCTCCCCACAAAAAGTTCAGCCACGTAAGACATTTTTGAGGTTAATTGTGACGAGGGTTGTAGGAACACGGTCGGGAATGCTCCTGATCTTGGCATTTCCAGCCATTATCCCGGAGAGTAGGTTGGTGGGAATGTGGTGCGGTGATTCCCTGGGGCGCCTGCCGTTTGGGGGACTTGTTGTCTCTTAGGGGCTCCCAGAGCCTCTCCGGGGCCCCTCTGGCCTCCCTGAGAGGTCTTGAGGGCATCTTGGGGTGGAGGACTGGTGGATTTGCCAGCGGCGCTGCTCCCGTGGTCCGCTCGCGGTCTCTCTATGACGGGCACTGGTACTTCGAACGCTCCATGGGCCCGTCTTGAAGACAGCGGGGGCCGTCTGAGGGCCGTCATTGGCGCCTCTGCCGTCTTGGACGTTTTTGTAGCCGAGAATGCGAGAATGCGAATAATCACACACAACTTGTAAGGTTCTGTCCCACGGTTTTGAGACTGCCCGCGAGATTCCCGAGAGGCCCCGAGACAGGCCCCTAGGACCATCGCAGAGCATGTTACATGCTTGAACTCCCAGCGATTATCCCCCAAGACAACACAAGAGCCGCAGGCCGCCCAAGGGGTCTGTGGCCGAGCCTCTGTGGCCAGACCTTGAATAACCTCAGGGCACTCCACTGCGTGCCAGAGGCACGATTGCGTACTCTGCAGCGGTAGGCGCGTGCAGCAGGTGCCAGCGCTGGGACGTCGTGCTGGGGCTCTTGGGAGAGATGAAGTGGCGCAGAGCCATGCCCAACGCTACAACCTACAGCAGCGCCATCACCTCGTGCGAGAAGGCGCCAGAAGCGGTAGAACACTGCAACTTTGCATGAGTTGTTGAGAACGGCACTCCTCCTGAGGAGGAGTGCCGTTGTAGCGCATTCCACACATGACTTACAGACCCATGTTGGTGTTATTCAGGTGGCCGTGAACGAGCGTAAATTGCACGAGTGCGTGTTGACTTGTGCGTTTTGTTTTGGTTCTTGCACAGGCGGGACGCTGGCAACTAGCTACAGAGCTGCTGGGCGAGATGCGCAAGCTCAGGGTCACCCCGAACGTCATCACCTACAGTGCCGTGATAAGTGTGTGCGAGAAGGGCAGGAACTGGGGCACCGTAGCCGACCTGCTCGGCCGCATGTGCGACGAGCAAGTGACGCCGAACATCGTGACGTTCAGCGCCGCCGTCAGCGCATGCGACAAGACGCTGCAGTGGGAGCTAGCCTTCGACGTGCTGCGGCGCATGCGGCAGACCTCAGTGAAGCCCAGCCTCGTGACCCACAACGCGACGATCAGTGCCTGCGCCAGGGGGCGGCAGTGGCAGATGGCTCTTCGATTTCGGGTGCTGGCAGGAGTACCCTTGGCCCGAGGTGCCCCTTGAGCTTCGGGCGCCCTGGTCCGGGCCATCTTGAAGCCTTCGGGCGCCTCTTGAGCTACGAGCATGTCCGCACCTGGGGCCAGGCCGCGATCCCACGGGCACGCGATCCTATGGGCACGCTCCGCGCGGGGCATCCGCGCAGAGCCGCCCCGCACTCACAGGGTCGCGGCCGAGGAGTCCAGACTGCAAGGCTGTGGATGTGGACAGGTTCCCTGCCCGCGAGCGTCCCCTGACCCGTGCCTCGCCCCGGGCCGCTCGGGGCCCTCCTAGCGGCCTTAGGGTCGCCTCGGGCAAGGAGCGCCCCTCAGAGGCAACGTTGGGGGAGGTGCATCGGCCCCCAATCGCCCAGGGATCGCCGATAGGGGCCTGATGGCCCACTCCGCCCAGGCACGTGCGGAGTCGCCATCGGCGACCTGTCGCCGAACTGTCGGCGATGTATCGCCGATGTCAGGGTCGATGTTCCCCTGCCCGGGCCGATTTCCCCCCTTTCGTTGACCCTCAGCCCCTGCCAGCGCCTGGCGGTTGTTCCACGGCATGCGGGACGCCACCGCCATCCCCGACGTCGTGTCCTTCGGAGCGGCCGCCTCCGCATGCGAGCAGGGCGGGGCCTGGCTGGCGGCGCTGGCGCTGCTCGCGCGCATGGCCCGGCGGGCCATCCAGCAGAATCTGAGGGCTGGGAAGTCTGCGACGCGCATTCCCAAGGGGCCCCAAGAGGCCCCCAAGAAGGGGAAGAGGGCCCAAGATGTCCCCCAGTCCAAGAGAAGAGGGCCTCTCAAGGGAATGGGGCGTCAGTGCCCAGGGAAGCGGCCGCACGCAGAGGGGGCCAGGCCCACTCTGGACGCGGCCCATGCCTTCGGCGGCTTCCCAGTTTCGGCCTCGGGGGACCACGCCCAGGCCCCAGGACCATCAGGAATGGATCCGGGATGAAAAACTGGTCAGCCGCGGGGTCCAGGGTGTAAGCACTGGACCGCCCGTTTGCAGCAGCTTCTGGTAGCTTCTGCGCTCGCAACCACTCCCTCTTGACAGAAGCTCCAGTGCCGTCGTTGAAACAACATCTCGGGGAAGGGGTCGACGCCCCTGGGACGCGTGCACTGGATAATCCGTCGGAGGTTCGGGGATGGTGGGCTCATTCCTCCCCCCGCTTTCCTTCCCCCACTCCCCACCCGTCCCCGCCAAGAACAGAGGCACGAGGGGCACGACATGGCATGGCATGATCATCATCGAGCTGGCTGGGGAAACCCTAGAGGTCCAGAAACGGCATTTCTCGGGTGGATGGGGCGGAAATGTCTTGCTTCGCGGGCGGAGCCGCCCTCGTTTTGCGCTTCTGCTGCTCTCCATCGCCTTCCGCGGAGGGAGGAATTAGGTTTGCGCTCAGATCCCTCGAAGGCGAGGCCCCTCTGGAGCGCCCCACACGAGCGACGTAAAGTCGGGTTTGGTTGCGCCGATGCTCGCGCGCAAGCCGCCCGCGCGAGGTCGCTGCTCGAGTGCCCTCGTCTCCGCGTCGTGAGCCGCGCTGGCGGCACGCGCAGGCCACCGCGCGAGGTCGGCACACCGTCGTGCGTTAGGCAGCTTCTCAAGACCCCCATCTCTTGCGACGAAGCTGCACTTCCCAGCCCTGCCAGTACGACGGTCTGCCACGCCGTGATCAGCGCCTGCGAGCGCGGCAAGGCCTGGAGGTGGGCGCTGCTCCTGCTCCAGGACATGCGAGCGCGCCTCCTCAGGCGCCCGGTGCTCCAAGACAGCCAGGCGAGCGTGCGGTCCCTGGCTTCGAGGCCGCCACGGCGGGATTCCCCACGGAGTCCTGGCCGGGACGGGTCCCAGGGAGTGTCCAGGGCCCGATGTCGGGCGGAGTTCCCCCAGACGCCCTGCGAAGTGTCTTCCCCGCGCGGGGAGCGGTTTCCTGGCGGCCGGGATGGTTCTCTGACGGTCCCGTGGGGCCCGAAAGTGGGGATTGTTTTTTTCCGAGACGTTGGAGGCCTGGGGTCCGGTGAGCCCGCGGTTCCTTGCAGGGCCACTCGGCGTCCTGGGAGGGCTGGCAGCAGCTCGCCAGACCACGTGGTCACTGGATGGCGTCCCGGGGGGGGGGCAGCTGCGCCCCGCACCTCGGAGGGGACCGGGGCGCCCGCAGACCCAGGCCTTCCGAATCACTAAAATTTCGTGGTCGTGCCCTGAACTACTAAATTTTTGTGTCTCGGCTCCTAAAGTTTTGTGTGTATTACTAAATTTTTGTGTTTAACGTTCGTGTAAATATACTCATGTATGTATGTATATATATGTATATATATATATATAGACATTCAGATGTAGATGTATATATATATACACACATACATATATATATATATATATATATATCAATACATACACATAAAGCATACAACCATACATTCGTACATACACACATACGTTACAAATGCACTTACAATTCGTACATGTTGTTGGTTGTGGCACGCGGCTCGTGGCAAATGGCAAGTGGCAAGTGGCAGTTCTGGTCGCGCGTCTCCCTGGATCGCTCACGAGGGGCCGAGCACGCTCCGCAGTCGCCGTCGAAAGTTGACAGATTGCCACCGATGTTCAACGACAATTGCCCTAGTGATGCTCCAACCTTATTGTTTGTTGTCAGTTTCCTCCGTCCCATGGCCATTCTGGCTCAAACCAGTTGGCTGAAAGACTGCGCCTCAGCCAGTTCCTATGTTGAAGTGTCCCAAGCGTGCGCACCCGAAGTCCTGGCGACATCCATCGGGTGATGCGGCTCAGACAGTGGAGGCCTTGGCTCTAGTGATCGGCACAGCGATCGCGACGATCATCAGCCAGGGCGAGAACTTCTACGAATCAGTCGACATGAAGGTCGGCAGGAATCCAGAGAAGATCTTGATGTACAAGGAGCTTCTGATGGGATTGTTCACCCTTGACCCGAGGGGCGGGCACTTTTTGCAGGGCGACGTCGAGCAGAGCGTCGAGAAGGCAGTGACCGACGCGTCCCTGATGGATGGCTTCGGGCGACTGGCTGCTGCAGCTGGCAGATCGATCGACGAGATGCGCAATATGATCGCCTACAAGATCAGGGTCATGTGCTCCCATGCGCGGGAGATGGCGTCCAACTGCGACGATGCGTCGCCTTTGAAGGACTTGTACGACATGGTGTGCTCTCCTGGCCTTGGTGGCCAATGGCCTATTCAGCGTGCCTCCTCCAGCACTTCCATCTTCCCGAACCTCCAGAAGACCGCCGACCGCGATGACGGGATCGGGGGCGAGGGGGCATCTGATGGCGAATATTCGGGTGAGAAGACGATGGTTTCGGCGTACTTCGACGGCTACCAGTGGGCTGGGCTGAAGTTGTTCAGCGATGGGAGCGTCAAGAAAGCTTCGTACTACAGGAAGGGCGACAACGGCATGGCGATCGCAGTGTGGGCCGACGAGTTCAAGCTGGAGCTGGAGGTGCCGAATGTGTGCGTGAGCGAGCTCGGCGAGCTTGAGAAGTACATTCCTCCTGGCGGCGCAGCTGGACGTGGACGAGGGCGTGGGCTGCTGAAGCGCCCAGCCGCAGCAATGAGGAGACCAGCGAGTGCGAAGAGGAAGCCCGCTGCAGCCCCTCATCACCCCGATGAGGGCGGCGGCGCTGCAGCCGAGGGTCCTCCCGAAGGCGGCGTTGCTGGCGCCGTCGATCTCCCTGGCGATGACGACGAGATCGAGGATGCAGAGGATGACCAGGGCGACAAGGAGCCATGCGACGAGGACGAGGTCGAGTCCGACGTGAAGCTCCAGGTCTGCAGCGGCCACAATACTACAATGGTCGTATTCTTAATCGATTTGGTCAAGAAGGGCAAGAAGATGCAGGTCCTCTCGGTAACCACGGGCAAGTGCGCTGGTTCGACGCTCTCTCCTCGTGAGGTGTGTGAGCGCGTCGTCGGGGAGCAGGCGTGGCTCTTGAACGATATCGCCTCCCCGATTTGCGAGATGGGCAAGGATAAGATCAACGGCCTTCGCGAGAAGTTGAGGGTCTTAGCCTCAGATGTCATCGAGGCGCATCCTGAGGTGGCCGACTAGGCAAGCAATCAATTAAATAAAGCAGCACTGCCCTCCTCATCCACATCTCCCTCCTCCTCCTCCTCAGCAGTGCTTGCGAGTTTCGCGATCCGTGGCAGTGGGCAGGCAGGCGCCCGAAAAGGGAACAATCATCGTCGGTCCTCCAATCACCATCGCAATCACCACCTCCGCCATCCCAAGTAGCATCCCCGTCATCGCCCCTGGCACCCTCGCCATCAACAACTCATGGCGCAAACAAATCGCAACAACAAGCATCTAACGAGCCATGGCAACATAATAGACCAAATGCTTCAACGTAAGATAGCCGTCTCATGCACCATCACCTCCCGCTCGCCTCCCCTGCCCTCCCCCCCGACGCCCTCTCCCTGTCCACCCCGCCACCCCCCCTCTCCCCTCGCACCCACCTCGCCCCTTCAACCCTCCCACCATTCATCGCCACCGCCATCACCACCACCACTACCACCATCGCCAACGCCATCATCACCACTACCACCATCACTACTACCATCACCACCACCACTACCACTACCACACTACCATCGCCATCATCACCACCACCACTACCACCACCACTACCACCATCACCACTACCACCACCCCACCACCGCACATACCCCACCACCACCACCGCCACTACAACCACCGCCACAACCACCACCACCACCACAACCACCAGCACCACCACCACTACCACCACCACCATCGCCATCACACCCATACCCCGTAGCAGTTTCGGCTCAGCCCAGCTTCTGTACTGCGTGGTAGTTCACAGCCTACAGCGACTGCAATGGCCGCACCAGCTGAGCACGGCTCAGCGCTCAAGCTTGAGCCGAAAGCCGAGGGGATAGAGACCGCTGGTGCGGCCGCGGCCAAAGTTCCAAAGTCGGTTCAGATCGCACGTGACGCTTTGGGCAAGTTGACGTGCAGCGCCGATGACCTCAAGAAGGTGCCCCCTGGAACGTTAAACACCCTCCAGACTACGTTGCGGAAGAGCATGTCCACGCAAGACAAGGACAAGTGGAGCACTCTCGCACCCGATGAACGCAGGGAGTGGATCGCGCAGTTCATCACTGACCCGTCAGCATGTCGCAGGTCGGGCTACACCACTACGAAGGCGGTCGACTCGCGCATGTCCGAGGACGGCGAGGAGTGGGTACTGCAGTCTACGCTGGCTGGGCCCCTTTGGCTGAATGACAAGGAAACGGCCCAGATACTTTGCGACAGCGGCGACTTGGAGAGTCGCCCTTCGACGTACCCCTCCTTGGCGCAGAAGGGCATGAAGGAGTTCAAGGTATCGAAGAAGATATTGAGGTCGATGACTGGCTGGTCCCAAGAGGCGGGCGTGTCGTCGGAGGCCGCGGTCGGGGTCGCAGAGTACACCGCTGCGCAGGATGCCATCATCGGCAGCTTCGGCAGCGGCAAGCAGAAGAGGCAGAAAACTACCCCAAAGCCGAAGGAGCCCGAGAGTGAGGAGAGCAAGAAGTTACGCGAGGCTGTGGCGGCTCGCGCTCTGCAGCTTCGGAAGTTCAAGGCCCAGTGCGACAAGGTGAACAAGGAGCTCGCTGAGTTCGAGGAGTGCATCGCCAAGGTAGTCTCGAAGGGATACCCCGCCGAGATGGGCTCCTTCATGAGGGCGGCAGCCGACCCAACCCAGACGGCGTTGAAGGACTCCCTCGGTTTGTATGGTCAGGAGATTACGAAGCCGAGCGGCGCCCAGAAGACGATCGAGGAGGTATCGAAGAGCACCAGCGAGATCGAGTCGTGCTCTGCGAATCTCGAGAATCATTTCGCCACCCTGAAGAAGGCCCACATCGCCGATATAAAAAAGCTCGCGTCGTGAGGCTAGGGGTGCTTTTTGCTTTGGGGCTGAGTGGCTTCAAGCCTACTCTTCTTTAGGGCTAGTGCCGTGGTGTCATTTGGGGATCAGGTGCTCGTGACCCAGGGGGTTCTCAGCTTAGCCACCTCCCGAGGTGGTCTTTTGAAGCTCCTGAGGGGGCGCCTCCGCCACCCCCCCTCCCCTCCGGTACCCGGCAAGGCGGGTAGAGGTTTGAAAAAAGTTCGATTTCAAACTCCAGGAGGTTTGTCAAACTTCGGTTTGTGCGAATGTTACAAGCAAAAGGAGGTTTGATTTCAAACTTCCACGGGGGAAAGTTTGAAATCAAACTTTTTTCAAACTTTTCAAAACCTTGCTGGGTCCTTCTCTCCCTTCCCCTCCCCCACTCCTCCCTTGCTGCCCTACACTCCCCCTCCCCTGGGCACTCCCTTGCCCTTCCTGTCCACCTCTGCCTCCTGAGCCCCCTCGGCCGCTCCTCCACCTCACGCCCGTCCCCCCTCCCTCTCCTCCCCCCCCCATCCGCCACTTCTTCCTCCCTATCCCTCCGCCCCTCTCTCCCTCCCTCTCCGCCCCCCCCTCCCTTCCCTTCCAATGCACAGGTTCCCGAACCCCCCCCCCTTAGAGCACCTGTGGCATCAGTAGGTTACAGGAGGCACCGATGCCCGATAGGCAACGGTAGCTCAAGACGAGGAGTTGACTCACCAAACATACAGTCGCCGTCTCAAACGTCGCTGTCACCAGAGCCATCAACGTCGCCGTCTGAA